TTCGGGTGGGAAGGCCGATATGAGATGTGGAAATGACGTTCGCAGCATGGATGGGAGTGGCCCAGCATCTATGTACGTGTGATGTCCATGGATCCCCAATGGTCCGCATAGCCCAGGTAACTTGTAAGTCACCATTACTGTACCCCCCCTGAATATAAATCGGCAAGGGACACCACAAGTGAAAACAAGTTGCACAGGTTTGTCGCTGTCCAGTGTCAACTGGCTGACTTGACAAACACTTTCAACTGTTACCCAGGCTGTTCGTTTTGCTAAACTATTTTTACGCACTTGCTGCGCGGGCACCCAGCCCGCGAAGTTAAAGCTCTCGTTTCCCAGAACACTTTGTGCAGTCGGCGCATTTGGTGCAAGCTCCGGTGGCTGAGTCTCAATGGCTTTGTGCAGCTTGTCAGCTCACCAATGGAGGCGGATGTGGGATGCCTGGGGGAGGCAGAGGGAATTGGGGCGATGTGTGGGTCGGGTGCTCGGCTCTACTCGTAAGTTGTTTGTCCTCTTGGGGGGTGAGGCGTTGTTGCCCTTCGCGGCGTGATGGCAATGGATGGCCCTGGGTCAGCAGAGTGCCGGTGGCACACGTGGCACTGCAGCCAGCTGGCTACGCCACGGCCTTCTTGCTTTTTTTGGTGGAGAGAGGGGGGGAGGGAGGGAGGGGGGGAGGCCCTGGCGCAAAAGCTGTAGACATTGTTGACCTCTCACTGTGACTTGGGGCTGGGTCGAACTTTACGTGCCGCTGAAGCGGTGCCAACTTGTGCAATTCCACGAACCTCCTTGCATGGCATGCACTCGACCTTCCTGGCCAGGGCTGGCTTTCGGCGCGCGGTCAAAGCAAAAGAGGCCGGGGGAATGTTGACGGCTTGCCGCTCTTCGAAGTCAACTTGAGCTGTTCACCTGACATGTTTTGGACGAGGCTTTCTTTTGCCAGGGCATCCCAAGGTGTTTGTTCAAGTAAATTTGCTTTGAGATAGTTTGAGATTCACATGTAGGTTGACGGCCGGCCTGTAGCCGCTCGTTTTAGGTCTCTTTTCAAGGGCCCCACGATTTCCCTTGGAGCCCAAGTGGTCCCTCCATTTTTCGACTTGTTGGCACATTTCCTTTTGACAAGCAGCAGCAAATGTGTTGGGCAAGTCCTTTCTTCGTTCGGCTGGGAAAGGAAGCTTCCTGCAAAGAAACGGGGGTTGCCAGCTAAACACCAAGAATGACTTCTGTAAACCACCCCTTGTGGTTTCAAGTGGAACCCTGGGTGCATTCCCAAAACCCTGGGTCATTCTCTACCCCAACTGGAAATTCAGCGCTTTAGAGCTTGGGAACTCGCACCTTTCTAGTCCCTTGGAGTGCTTCCATGGGACCTTTCAGAAGACCCAAGATCCATTTAGCCAAATCGGCAACCAGCGGATCCATCAACTAAAAGGCAAATAGTTGTAGTTGGTTACCTACTGTAGGGGCAACCGGGATGCACTGTGTCACTGCGACAATCTGCAAAGCTCTGGTTTCGCTGCCGCTGAAAAAGTGCTTTTGTTTGCGCAGGGTGAACCCAGCGGCAGCGCCGCGACCTCAGAAGTGGCGGAGATGAATTTTCAAGGGCGCCCTGTGGAATATACTTCAGGCGTTCTTCAGCTGGTGGTTTGGATTGGTGGTTTAGAGATTTGAGAGCGGTTCTTGTAGATGGTAAATGGGAAACTACCCTTAGCCACCGAGCCACCAATCCAAACCACCAAGTAGGGGAAAGCGGAATATTGGCGTAAATAATTTGAATGGAGGGTTGAGTGCAATTCAAGCTACCTCACCATGGGAGAATCACATGTGACTTTAAGCTTCTTGGGAAGGCTTTTTTTTTTTTTTTTGCGGCAACCAACAAGTTGTTGACTAATCCATTCAGAGAGTGATTTCTTGGCTTGTTTGTTTGCTTGATTGGCTGTTTGTTTGTTTGGCAGGTTCCCAGCAAAGATGGTCAACCTCCGACCCGGCTTCCCTTTTTCCACCAGGGATGGCTTTGTTTTTTGGGGGCTGAGTATTGCGTGGATGCAAGCTGTGGGCCTGTTCCAAAGCACTTAATGCTCACTTTGGTGTTCGTTGCCGGGCTAGTGCGTTGTTTGCTAGGTGGTAACCCACTTACATAAGTCCCCAGTTCAGTGGGGGCAGCCTTGTTAGTGGGTTATAACAGGTGGGGACTTACAAACTTGGCTGAACATCCAAGCGGTGACGCACCAGACATTTGGGGTCTCTTTGAATAGGAGGCCCACCAACAAAAAAACTGTGGGTTTTCCTTTGGTTCCCCCTTACTATATATAAAACTACCCCAATAAAAAGGGTTCAGAAGGGTTTCCTCAGAAAAACGACACGCCCATCTTAGAACATGCGGGGTCCTGGTACGCCTTGCTTGGCTAAGGTTGAAGCCGCAGCCGGTTTTCCGGCGCCAGGGCAGCGACAACAAGCTTAGGAGCCCACCTTTTCCGCGCCAGACCGCGCGGCGTTTGGGTCCAGCTTGTGAATTCCTAGCAGGCCAGGATCTTGATCGGAAGGCCAAACGGGGGGCGGCCGCTGTAAAGGTTTGGGGGGAAGGGACTGCAATCTGTGTAGCTCTTCTCTTTGATCTTGCCGGCGCTGAGTCCATCCCACAGTTGCATTTGTTTGGTTCTAGGGACTTCCAATGATCATTTCTCAGCTGCTGGAAATGAGCGCCCAGGAGCAAGCTCAGCAGCGGCGGCGGCTCCGACAACGAGAGCGATAAAGGCTCCAGCGCTGGCCGTGCCAGGAGGCCGGGAGGGACGAAAAAGGTCCGAGCAAAACCATCGAAAGCCCATGATGGCTTTTGTCGGGGGCTCCCTTATTTCCGGTTTGGATTGTTTGGGCAACCAGAGCAATTTGCCAATATTGAGTTGACTGCCGGGGTGAATGAGCAGCTGGGCTTTGCAGCTATAGCAAGTGTGTTGCACTTCTTTGAGCGGCTTGTCATGTTGGCAAAATGCAGGCGGGGCAGATGCAAGACCAACAACAACGACAATGGCTGCGAGCTCAGGGGCGAGCTCCACAACTTTTTCTGAATATGTTTCTATTGGAATCATTGCTGTGTCCATGTTGCAGAAGGCAGCCTCAGGGCCTCAGGCTGCAGGGCAAAGGAAGGCCCAAATCAATGCCGCCCCACTGGCACGGCCGGTGGGGTCCAAGGAATTGTCCTTCGTCCCGATTAAGCCAAGGACTGCTCGATCCAAGTGGTTTTTCGGACACAGGACCCACTTGCCCGAAGCCTGCCTTTTTGACCCTTTGGCCTTTTTGGCCATGTTTTGGCAAGGTTCCGAACAGATTGTTGTGTCCAAGTCCTTTGGGCAAGTGCGACTAACTACGATTGGAACGCTGAGGCGAGAATAGCCGCAGCCTGAGATACGCCACGAGCAGCAAACTTGCACCACATGCAGGTCTCATAGTTTTGGAACCCCTTTTTTGGCTGATTTTTAAGTGAAACTACGGAGGCCAGCATTTTGTTCAGCCCATACTGGCAGGCCCTCCCGTCTGAAACTCTTGATTGGTGCACTGGACCATGCCCCAACGAGGCTTCCTGTTTCGAAAGACGGGTTGGTTAATGTAAGACTCCATCCTCCACTGTGGGCTTGGCGGGGACGGAAAAGTGGACGTGTGGCCCAACCCATGCACAACTGCCTACTGGCTCATGGGCCGGCATGCTCTACCCCCCCTTCCATGGCACAGTGCAATTCAAGTATCTTCGGACAGATGTGGGGTCCAAAAGTTCAGGGGGCAAATAGGAAAATAGCCTCCCCACTAACATGAAACTTGACTGAGAGGTGCTGGAAGACCATGCTCCTTTAACATTGACCCTGTGGTGGGTTCCATGTTGGACAGGCGGCTATCTCGCAAGTTACGTAGACCTGGGCCAGGGATCCAACGGATGGCCTTGCTGGCCGGAGAGGCCCCTCGATCCATCCCGAGGCTTGCGTGTGCCCGAAGGCGGTGATGATGGTGGCTCGCCGGGTGCAAAGCATGCCGAGGGACTGGTGACAGCTTAAGGCTAAGGGTCCCGATAGAACTTAGGGCCTCAGGCTGAAAAGGGTCCCCACCACACACACAACAAGTCTTGCTCAGGGCATGAGACACGGAACGACCCCTATAAACCATCCAACAGGTGGTTTCCTTTAAGGGGACCAAAGCTTGGGTTCGTTCCCCACATTCCCTACCTATCGCACCGACCGGAAGAAGTTGTTCCACCGGTTTTGGAGAACCAAGGCCAATGCGCCGCGCGAAGCTCATGCGCGCCAGCACCGCCAACTTCGGGAGCAGTTCCCCGCCCGGCCCTTTGTTGGCGCCGGCGGGATTCAAAAAACGTGTCGACTTCAAAAAGGAAAAGTATCTGTTCAGAAGGCTTGCGATTAAAGATGCGGACTTCGGAGCTGAGACGTGAAAGTTGCATTGTCATTCATACGGTTTAGGCGCATGGTGTTTACCTTTTGTTCTGGCCGGCCCCGTGCCAACGATACAAGCCTTGCACATTTCATTGGCAACGGAGCGGTTAATCCTGTGCTCAGGAAAGCATCGGACGCCAGACAGGCCGGGCTGAGTATGCAGACTGGACTTCATCCCTATATTCCCCCGTGTGGTTTTAAGTTTGAAGCATCATCTTTATAGGTGCGTTTCCCCCGCCAAGGTCGATGCTTTAAGGGATATTTCGGAGCCCTGAATTCCTAAGGGTGTTGGTCATTGGCTTCAGGGATGGCTTGGTAATCCCTCAAGTGCCGGGGAAAGGGCTTGGTGCGCACAAGTAATTGCAAAGCAAAGTGTCAAAGCGGGTTGAACCCGGGGACGACTTCTTTTCCGGCGTTGAACCTTGGGATTCATAGCAAATGTTTTTAATGGGGTTGAACCCGGGCAGAACGCCTTGGATGGTCGCGTTTGTTGAATTCAGATGTGAGAAGCACCCCCCGCGACCGCAGCTTGTGAGTGCTTCCCGCTTGCTCGCCCAAAAAGCATCCTCAGCCATGGCGGACGCAAAGCCCCGGCGCAAGATCACGACCGCGTCTTGGCCGTTGATTCACCTTGCCCAGGCATCCCCTTTTCTTTCAGGGAGCCCACGGGAATCGCGCTTGAAGAGCCAAAAGGAAGAGAGCAAGTCAACCACTATGGTGGTATCTGGGATCCATTGGGTTATTCTTTTGCAATCCTGACTAAACACGGTTTAAAGTACCACACAACGAACCTTCTGTCGACTTGCTTGGGCACTTAAATCAAATAAGAACATGTTTTTTGTGGACACCCTTAGGAATCCCAAATGGACACCATGTATTTTGGGTTGCGGAGGTAAACAGCTAGGGAGCTCTCTCCAGTTTTTTTTTTTTTTTTCTCGCGGCTTCTCTTTTACAAGCCCAACAAAACATACATATCCTTAGAACTTTCCAGAACAAGACACCCATTTTGCCCTCAAAGTTGAGGCATGCGTTTCCCCGAACCTTTGGGGCGGCTGGCTTCAAGCGGGCTGGTGGGTGTGTTCATGTGTGTGTATTCACATCCCGTGACCAGCCGACCGCTCCGAGTGAATCCAAAGGGAGCTGCCCACAATCAACAGGGGCCTGTTTTGTATCCCACACAAAGGCGGCGCCATGGGCGGCACCTTGGGAAGTTTGTAAAGGGTCCACATTTTTGACACCCCAAATGTTCCAGCTTGCATGCGGGCATCAGCAACCAGGCGCCTACATAAGTTTCAAATCCTATGTGAAACATGTCCATCATACCGTGCATGGTTGCGAAAAAAAAATAGAAGAAAAAAACATGGTTGAAGCCATTGTTGGTTGGTATTTAGGTTGGAATCGAAACATTCGGTGGTGCCTAATGTGATTACGCAGCCATCCACATTAGGCCCCCCAGATTACCAACATTTCACACCCACTACCATAACCCACTAAAAGTTAGACTTTTGGCAGGGGGTCTGAGAACAGCCCTATGTAAGTCGCAAACTCCTATGCGGATCATCTCCATCATGCCGGCACCCCCGAAGCACATGATGACAATAGCGCCACTGAGGCGGAGCTGCAAAAGCACAGCAGCGAAAGCAACGCATGGATGGCGTGCCATGGCCTTGTCCTTGACCTCAGCAAGGACCGGTCCGGTCTGTGGATTCGTGTCATTTCCGGAGGTGTTTCCAGGCGGGGAGGTTTTCACAGTCGAATGTGGGATATGGGCGTGTCTCCAAATTAAGCCACCAGCAGCTGTAGTTCCCAAGTGCCGCGTGCCAGGAGTTTCTTGAGGAACACCCGGGAGGCCCTGATGTGGTGACGGCACTGGCTGGCAAGGAGCGCAATCCGACCGGCGCTTATGGATTTGGGCGGCCAGGGGGCCTGAGACAGCCCACCAAACCGCACCCAAGCCCCTAGCAGTGAAGTCAGAGTGGACATGCAACATGATCACAGTCAGTGTTGGCCGCAGCGCCAGCATCGTCACTACCTGTTTGCCTTACGTTGTTCTCAGCATGTGCTCAAGCGTGTCTCTTTTCTTTTTGTTTTGTCTTTTAGCCTAGTCATGTTTGTCGTGGCAGGGCGCCGCAGGTTTGCTTCTTATACGTCAACGGTTGGACAGCATGGAACCCCCAAGAACGACCCGCAACCTTAAGAGGTTGAAACGCCAAAGCTAAGTCCAGACGAAGAAGGTTTTCAAGTGGATGCGGAAAGAGGCCGTTCGATAAGTTCCACATGCCATGTCATGGCTGACTTGCACTGCAAGTATGAGGTTGCAGGAGCACCCCGACGAAAAATGTGCCCGCGAAAAGAGACTTGCTGGGCGCAACGCTGCTGTACAAATTGCGGCAACCTGTCCTCAGCTTGGCTGAATATACTTATATACCACTGTTCCACCAATCATGGAATCATGGGCCGTAGGACGCCGGCAGTCTTCCAAAACTAGCCTGTCCACTTCCATGTTGACGCGGGTGTATTGTAGCGATGTGTTTCTAATTAGGCATGTTTAATTTCCCCAGAACAATCCAACGAGGGAGGTGTCGCGTTCCATTTGTTTCAGACCCCGGATTCGACCGACGGAGCCCTTTTCTGCTTCATGTACTCCTCAAAAAAGGGTTTGGACCGCTTATGAACCCATGAAAGCCAAACCACCAAGCCACCAAACCACCAACCCACCAAATCACCAAGCCACAACTAGTAGCAACCACCTGACGTCCAAACCACCAACCAAACCATCAGATTCGCCGCCAGGACGGCACCCAGGACTTTGAGGACATCTCTCACAGCGACAGCGCCCGCGATTGGGCCAGCAAGCCCCGAGCCCAGAACCCTCGAGCCAACTCCACTCAAGTGAGCTCAGGGTGGGTGAAGGGCGCTCCAAGCCACCATGCGGTTCATTTTGGGGCGTTGTGCCCCTGGAAGTGACCAAGAAGAAATGCGCAAGTCGTCTTTGTTATGGGGGAGGGACTTTGTTTGACAACCTTGCACCCTGGTAGTTACATTGACAGCAGGCCCATGTTGTTTTTGGAGACCGTGGACCGGGCATTGGATTGAAGCTGTGTGCCATCCGATGAGCCAAGTTTCAGCCGAACGGAAGCTGAGTGCCGACGGGCATTGCATTTTTGGTGAGGCTGATCATTGGCTACATGGAGGGTGCCGGGGATGAGGAGGAGCTGAAGACCAAGACCGTCCCCAAGCATGCAGAGGCGAAGGGCGAGGGGGGGAAACACAGGCCAGCGCAAATCTACACTATGTTCCCGGAATTTGGAGGGAGTGCCCCCCATGATTTTGGCCACCTTCTTGCCCTAGCTCCTTAAAGGCTTAATTCCCCTGGCTGGAAACGTTCCGGCCACGGGCAAGTAGAGTCTTGAAATGAACATATATTTTTCACAAGTCCAACCCATTTGGGTCAGAGGCCGTCCCCTTTGCCCTCCCAATGGTAAGCCACACAATTTCGTTGTGCCACCAACGCCAAACACCAACAAGCCCAAACACCACAAAACGCAATTGGGTTTAACCCCTCCCCTTTGCCCTCCCAATAAGCCTCAAAATTCCCTTGTGCCTACCACCTCGCCAGGCTAACCGAGGTGGCGGTGGCGGCGGAGGGCTGGGCGCCTTCATCCCGGCGCTCGCGGCGCTGCTCTTGGCCGGCGCCGTGTACTACTTCCTGAACGCCCCGCGGCCGCATCGGCCGGGCAACGTCCCATGGAAATGCCTGCGTTGGGCTTGCCCCTGAACCCAAAAGGGGACGGTGTCCTCTAGTTTCCCGTCAAAAAAATAAGCAAAAACAAAAACAGGCTGCCCTCAAAGAAACAAAGACGTTTTCACCCACTTGGTCAGACGATCCTGACCCCTAAGAAGTCTATGGAAGGGGGGCAGGGGTGTACCGAGCCTAATCAAGGCACGTTCCAGTCTGCCATGCATGTTGCCGTAATGTGGGCCGTAGTGTGGGCACAGTGGAACAGCAATGGATCGCATGCATGTACTGTATGGAGGCTTTCCACCCAGTTTCGCAGTCAGGTGTGCCATTTCAGATGTCAGAATGAACAAGTGGGCCCCTGCCTGCAGGACCCCTGCATCACCTCTTCACAAAGAACGAATATGTACAAAACCCGCTTGCGGAATCTTGCTATGGAGAGCTACTTTGCAGACCCCCACTTCCAAGCAAAGCCGGGGGGGGGGGGCAGCGAAATTTATTTCCTGTTCTCTTCGCCAGACTTTCAGATGGCTTTCCTGCAGCTACTGTGGATCTGCACCACTTTGAAATCATGGGAAACCAGGTGGTGCGAATGGATATCGGCCATCCACAGTACAACCTTCAAAGCTCCCTTTGTCCTCACGGCCACCGAGCAAAGGCCAAGTCCTGAGCAGGGGCCAACAACGCCCCGCAGCCGCGGGATTGGCCGGCAGATTGCGCCGGCCACATTTTGCCAGGATTTTCGTGTTGAGCGTGACACCTGAAAGGAGACTGCCGAGCGCGAATCGCGCAAAAAGCAACAAGGCGGCGGCATCACAATCCTTCAGCTGAGCTGAATTTTGGCAGACCGCAGACCTTTGGGGGGGGCACCTATTCCCAAACCAGGTGTGCCTACACAGTAAACCAGCCACCACACGCCATGCCTCCTCTGCTGTTGGCACAGATCCTACGCGGGGTCCACCCTCAAAGGTTCCCTTTTCGTGCTGGGCTCATACTGCGGATGGACGAAATCCCGCACCAGTTTGAAAGTTGGCATTTACAGGGGAATGGAAAGGTGCTGCGAACGGATTTCGTCCATCCACATGGCAGACATGTTGCTGGAACCCCCCCCCCCTCCCCGCACGTGGGGAGACGCAGTGGGCCCAGGGCTTCGCGGAAACGAAGCAGGACCTGAGTTTGGCCGTGGGCGCAGCGAGTCAGGGCTAGCTCCGACTCTGGTTGCTGTTGCTCAGGGAATGAGAAATGGAATGAGCCCTACAAACCATCACTCATTAAGGAAATCCAAGTTCAAGCTGAACGCTCTTTTGCAGAGGTGTGGAAGGTGTCAATGGAGGCGCAACAGGTGTTCCAGTTGAAGGCATCGAAATTCGGAGTTTCTTCCATGTTGTCTTTTCGCTTTGGTTAGAACTGCTTAGTTTACCAATGATGCTACTGGTGCGCTTAGTGAATTGGCAAGCTAGGGGAGTGGGGCCAGTTGCAGGAACGGGAAGAACTAACCTCAAGGCTTTAGTAGCTGAGACGAAGATATCTGCGCGGACAAGAGTGTTTATTTCCGAAAGGCAAATGACGCAGGCCGCATTATGGAATGACATTCTGATTGAGCCAGATCAACATAATTGACGGTGATCTAGAAATGCAGCCTGCACTCAGTCAATTTGATCCGTGAGTTGGCCTGGGATGCACCCCATGTTTGCGGCTTGCAGTGCGCGCGCGCTTGCTCATCCCCACGGCTTCACCCGGCCACGCGTTTAAAGCTCAAGGGAACCCATTTGAGTACTGGATACGGCCCAAAGCAAGCCGTGCCCACTAAAGTTTCCCAAGTGAAATCATACCCGTGAAAGTGATTTTGCCTGCATTGAACCGTTAACATGTGAGCAAACAAAAGCCCACCACGACTTCCCAAGGCCACCAAATGGTACTCTAAGTATCCGGTATCTGTGTTTGTTCATGTTCTTTCCTTTTTTTTGAGGGGGGGGGGTCGATTGCAAGATGGAATGCTGCCGCAAGCTTTCAGCCAAGGCCAGCGCTAAAGTGCCACAGGATCTGCGCAAGAAGGCCTGGTTCTTGAGCCAAGTCGAGTGGAAAGTGGCCGAAGTGGCTAGGGACACATCTTTTGGATCCCCGCTGCAGTGGAGGGGGACAACCAAAAGGCCAAAAGGCAAAATGAAGGCAAAAACGACCGGTCTTGGCTTGGACAAAAACAAGCAGGCCCCCCCCCCAATATTATTCACAGTCACCCTAGCTGCGCCGGCAACAGCGAGCGTGGTGCAATGTGCATGATGTTGGGCTACTCACTTGCCCAAACCCGACCTTCTGACCTGTTGGTTGTCCTACGTTGATCCATTGGCCCAAAGGGTTGGCAGTTGGTCCTTTGGGCAAGGGAGGCGTCCCATTCGCCTGCATGGCAGGTGCTGGCCGAGAAGCACGCGGAATCCGACGGGGAGGCATACAAGGCGCTGAGGTTTTTGGACATTTCCCGCAGTTTCTGCGAGCTGCAAACGAGGGGAGTGGCTTTCTTTGGAAAAAAAGGGTGGGAGAAATGACAAGATGGGATGTTAGATGATGTTAGTCAGCTTTTGGTACGGATTTGTTTGTGGCAAGTGGCTGAAGAACAGAACCCAGCGCGAGCCTTTTTCAGGTCCCCCCGCTGCCACAGAGAGTGCTGCCTGGCGGTTATACCGTGGGCGATCGCGCGGTCTCCCCGACACTTTGATCGGATGGATATTTGTTGCCAAGTTCGTAATCAGTTAACCACCTGAGCTACAACCCACCAGGGTTAACTGCATTGAACGCGGGCTGACAAGTGGGTTACCACCGAACAACTTAATGACTTGGCCGAATCTGTCAGGTAGGAAGGAAACGCGAGGCCCCACCCATGAAGGCTCCCGGCTAGCTGAGAGCTGTTATGGAGCTGGGTAGCCAGATTTGCCCAAGAGGGAGCCGATCAGAGCTTATCAGGAGTTCGGGTTAGGGACTTGTTTCTTATGGAGGGGGGTTCCTGACATGGAAAGCGATCTTTGAAGGGTGTTTCAGACCTACATCTCGGAATGCTTTGGGAAGGGAAGTGCAGGTCAGTGCTCACCTTGCCTCTTGGCTTGGCAAACTTAAACGTCTTGTCAAAGCTTCCAAAAGTGCTGTTTCGCTCGGGTGAGTCGCCGTGGTTTGCCAGGTGACCTTGATCTCCAGGGAGGCTTACAACCAGACGCGGGCCATGGCTCGTTTGCGCCGTTGGTGCAACCATCGGCTTTTTTCCCTTCGTGTTTGCGCGTGGGCATCCTTAATCACCAAACCACCCGGCTCCAAACCACCCGCTCTTAGGGAAGCTGATGTGGCTGTGGGTCAAAACCAATGGTACCATTTTTGGGGTCGGTGAATTCACCAGCCAGTTTAGAACCTATGTTGGTGAATTCACCACCCAGTTTAGAACCTATTTTAGTGGTTGAATTGGGATGTTCACCGGGTAACCGGGCCTTTGACCCACCCGATAGCCCCCCGAGCCCCCCGATCGACCGCCGTGAAACGGGGCGCCAGGCTGCTCATGGAGCTGGGCCAGGAGGGTAACATCGTTGGTGCGGCCCGGGGCCAAGGGACGAGACCTCCGCCTTAACTGTGCCCAGGCTCACAGCCGTGCAGCCTTGGGAAGTAGAACTTGGGACTGTCAAATTTGGGGTTGGGGGGGGGGGGGGGTTGGGGGGGATTTGCGACAGTGACCTGCTTTTTGTCTACCTTGTTGGTTGTTTTCTATCAGCTTGGAGCGTTGTTTGCACCTGTTTCGTTCTTTTTGCCCACTTTTGTGTGACCCCTCAATCTCTTTAAGTGAGCGGGCCAGAATGACCTCCCGGGCAATACATGCAGAGTGCCTCGCACCGTGGCAAGAGTGGCAAATGTTGTTGGTTTCCCTGACGGTTGCCCTTGCCAAACACCTGCTTTCCATCCGTGTGCCAGGCGGGTTGAACGGGGGGGGCAACCATGAACGCCTGCGGGTCTTGCCAAGCCACTCCGTACCCAGAAAGCTTTTTCGAACTCTCGTAGCTTCAAAAATTATCCACCTGACCAAGCAGAAACTAGCAGGCTCTTCCACCTCCAAAAAAGGAGAAGCTGCGTCCTTTTTTGCCCACTGTTCGGGGCACGCCGGGAATCTCCGATCCGCGAAATCCGCTAGGTGGAGCGCAAGTGTGGCGAGGTGGATCTGCGGCTCTTGGCAGGGAGGCCTGGAGAGGACTCCCTCGAATGGGCTGGTGGCCGGGTTCGGTGGGTTTGGGTTCGGGTGGTTTGGGTGGTTTGGGTGGGGTGGGGTGAGTGAGCAGGTTCCCGTTGAGAATCCAACGGCTAAACTGGAGCTCGCGAGCTGCGCTTTTCATCAAGGCCCCTATCAGCTCAGACCAGTGGTTCCCAGCCATCCGGTTCCTTAATTTTGGCTGTTGGGCTTTTTAGTGGGGATTTCCATTTCACCCACCAAAAGTTAAACCTTTAGCAGGGGATCTGAAAACAGACAGCCCGGTACTGGGATCTCTGCTGATGTGGGTTTGCATTCAATGGTTCACCTGGCCCAAACTCAAACACGTCATGTTTGGCTGGGGGCAAAAGCTGAGGTAAGATCCCGGCGTTTTCGCTCGGCCTGGCTATGGCAGCTTTGGCTGGCTTCCGCGTCCTGAGGTTCAGTTCCCTCGCGGGGTCAACTGGTGCTGCTGGCATGTGCTCCTTGCCTCGCCCCCGCATCCTTGGGCAAAGCCGGTGTTGTATGCCGATTTTATGAGGAGCTCATTTGGCGAGCTCAGGGGAACCCCGTATTTCAGGTTGGAATTGTTTGATGTTTGGAGTCGTTTTGTTTTAGAGCCAATGGTAACCACGGTTTGCACTGAATGCTAACACCCTACGGGAAAACTCAGATCTTAGTTTGTTCTTTGGGGGGAGTAAGGGGAACCTACTTGCCGATTGCGAAAGGGATCATTCGACATGTTAAAATGGTGTTCCCATGTTGGCGAAGGTTGTTGATTTGCTTTTGCTCCTGCTGTTCTCCCTCCCACTAGCGTGAAGCGCACCAGGATAGTCTTTAAGGGAGACGCAGTCAGGTCTTTCATGTGAATGAGAAGAAAATAGAATTTATGTACTGCTCCTTTGTTCGTTTGTGGCTAGCGTTTGACCCGCGCGGGTTGTTTTCTGGGGTAAATTTGCGGCTCCTTAGCCACCAAATCACCAATCCAACCCACCAGACACCCGGCGGCCCTCTGGAAAACAAGGGCCACTCATTTTTACCAACAGTGTTACAAAGGGACCCCCCCACAAAAAAAAAGAAAAGCAGCAACAAAAACACTTGCTGTTTTGCTTTCTCCCTCTTTTCTGTGGGCAAAGGGGGGAAAATGCTTGGCCGAGCCAGGTGGCTCGCGCCCTCCCAGCTGAGCCGGTGGCCCAAAGGTTTCCCGTGGGGGGACGGAAATCCCGTTTTTTGTTTGTTCCCTCGTTTGTTTGTTTTTTTTTGGGGGGGGCGGGGTTGCTTGTGGAAAACCAAGGGAAAAGCCGCCGGTTGTAGGGGGGTCCCCCAAAAAAGAGACGAGACACCCAAGTATTTTATGCATGTTTGTTCAGGCACAAGCCCGTTTTAGTTTTGGAATCAGGTCCCCTAATCCGTCACCCAAAATCATGGAGCTTTTCCGGCCGACTTTCATGTGAGGTGGTGTAGTTTTTTGAAGCTCGCCTTTTTCTCTTATGCGAAGCCCGAGTCTTTCCAGAACTGATGCATGGGTTTCGTGACAAAAAACAAAACGCGCTCAAAGCGTCATCTCATGCAAGTGAGGGTCAATTTGTATGTGCCCATCTTGCTGGTGGCGATGTGGGCACAGAAGCACTCAGTGCATGGGCGCCCGTCCATGTACTCCAGCATTTCGCGCTTTAGATAGCTTTCACTGAGAAGGCTGTTGGGCCCAAGGCAAGCAACACGTGGCAGGCCAAGCCTCAGCAATGCTTCCAAGTGAACTGCCCAGGTCACACTTCTGGCTCCAATTTGGTCGGTAGAAATTCCCCGTGCAAATGATGCCCCAGAGGTTCCCAAGAATTGAACATCGTACTGACGATTCATGAACCCGTCCCATTTTTTTAGTCCTAAAGGATTCAACCAGGCGGTAAGTCATCTGGGGGAAACATGACCCCATTGCTCCGAATGGACTGAGTCGGATCCCTCGCTCGCCTGAGTCGGCTCAGGCCAGCCGGCCCAGTTTGGTGCCGCACGGGCTGCTGGCATCTATGGATATAGCTGGGGTGCACGCGTGCCCGCCTAAGCTGGCACGTGGGGTTGTGCCGGTTTTTGGTTGAGGGCAACTTTTCAGCTAGCCCTTCATGAAGGGGGATTTGAACCCTTGGTTCTTGTAGTGGGTAAAAGGGAAACCACCCCCTGGACCTCAAATCCACCAATCCCAAACTGCCAATTAGAGGGAGGCTGACCTTTCTCAGGCTGGAACCCGTTTGGCCCCTCCTCATCTTGGCACATACCATGGGTGGTGCGAAAAGGGTTGAACATCCCAGACGGTGTTGAAACCAGCCCAAAGGAATTTGTCCGCCGCCTTTGGTGCGACGGTCAGCATGCACCTTCTCAGAAGCGCCTCACGTCAGGAGTTGACCATGGGAAAGCACATTCAGTGGGCTTGCTGGTTAGAACTTGAATGTTCGGCCAAGTTAGTATGTGGCTAGCCACCCGGATTGTAACCCACTAACAGGGCTAACTTCACTTAGGGACCCTATGAGTGGATTATCACCCAGGCTACCGACAAGTTACGAGCTTGGCAACGAGGGAGCGGCGTTGGGTACACTCGCGTTACGATGGGAGGGCACAACAAACACTGCGGGTTACCGTGCTCCGACAAAAAGTGGCTGGTTGATACAGGCTGGGTCCAAACCTCAGTGGCATATGCTGGCTTTCTTGAGGTTTTCTCTTGGAAATCCACATGAGGCCTGGCCAAAGTATCAAGAAGTGCTTGGTTCATGTGGTAAAGACATTGGGACGCCTCCTCAATTTCCCAAAAACAAAGGGACTCATTACTTGTCCCATGTCCATCATGTGGCTCCCATGTTTCCTGCGGGCAAGCCGGCAACACCTGCACCAGGTGCGCTCTTTGGTGACGCTTCTGCATCCACCAGCTGCATCGCAGCCACACCAGGACTGCGCACCATTCGCATGTCAACCAGTCGGTTGGTTGCACCTGAGGGTCGCGGCAATATCATATTGGGGCCAAAAGCTTCCGACAAGTTTGGTGGTGTTGTTGCCAAGTTAGTAACTTGTCGTAAACCTGGGTGATAGCCCAGTTGTAGGTCCAGTATGGTCCGGTTATAACTCGGGTGGCTAGCCACTTCCTAACTTGGCCGAACATCCGTGTAGCCCTTGACCCATTGGACCCTTGCTTCGCCCACAGGGGTGGAACCAGCCAGTAGGGCGCATTGCAGTTTTCCGTGTGGTGCTTTGGTGATGCTGCCGCCATCCTTGGCTCAAATGGCCTCACAGGTGTAGAAGGTTAGGCACACGGCGACCAGAGATGACACATAGGTTTGCCAACCGTTGGGCTCGTGCTGCACTTGTGTTACTGTACTGGGCTTGCCGCGGGGATTGGAGCCGCGCATAGACAAGCTCTATGGCTGTGAGCAACCCCGGGTTTGATTCCAAATCCACTGTGGAATGGTGACCTCACATTCGATCAAACGGGTGAGTTGGTGCTTTTTCTCAGCAGGTCCAGGATTTGCGCAAATGACGGGATTGAAGAAAGGCCTTTTGCATCTTAAAACTCAGGGAGCGGTTGTTTCCCAAACTCACCGGCCGAAAAAGAAAAAAGGGGGGGACCACATCCGTCTGGGCGTTTCTCACAATGGCAGGCCTTGGTGCATGTTGCTTGGATGTTAGGACTTTAACTTTTTTGCCAACTATTGGGTTTTCCATTGAACCACTAAAATACTAAAAGTTAAACTTTGAGCAGGGGAGCAGAAAGCAACCGAGTTTTGGTTGCTCTTCAAAGGCAGCCGACCAGTTTAGAAGACCAACACCCCCATTTTGCGAACTCATTTGGAGCTGGCCATGGCCTCGACTTTCGAAGTCTTCAACCTGGCAGCGCCCTGTGCTGCTGCCACGGGCAGCGTTTGGTTCTCGCCGCAGCAGCCTTACCGCGATGTGAGGCGCGGATGGATCCGCATTCGACGCATACACCTCAGAGTTTCCGTGTTGGGATGACCAAACGCAGTCAAAGCATTTCTTTTGGTCAAAGTCCGACTCCAATTGTGAAGCACCTTTGGCGGATGAGCACGGATTTGAGATGATGGCTTTTTGGTCACGGTGACCGGTTGTTCAAACAAGCGTATCCTTTTGGCAGATGCTGCTGGACCAGGAGATGGCGCAGAGAGAGAGAGAGAGAGAAAAGAAGACAGAGAGCGAGCAACAGAGATGGTGGTTGCCCTTGTCGTGCCCACTACGGAGTACAACTGAGGGAAAGCACATTCGCGATTTGAGCCCCCCGCAGAGCATTGCGCCCGTCGCAGGGACTACCAGCTGGCACCGCACCACCAGGGCATGGCGCACCCTCCGCAGAACGAGGCGAGCAGAGGGCATTTGGAGTGTGTCTGAGGGCACCCTGTCTTTCATGTGCTTAAAATGTGTCTGGGGTTTCCGTGTCGGTTTTAAAGGGAAACTATCACTACTGAAACCATCTATTCCACTTTTCTAGGGGACTAGAGCAAATGGAGGCTGTTCACCTTGGTTTAAGCCAAAAAGGGAAAGCCGCCATTTTGAAGGTCCCTTCCCTACCAATCAAGAGCCACGGCCTTGTCCACCACCAACCGCCAACTGGGCACATGTGTTTTGCCAACCGAAAGGCGGGAAACAGGTCCCGACCAACGGGGCGATTGGGGGGGAGAGCGTCCCTCCAATTGCAGTGTGCTGACGGACTTGATTTGGGTACTTGCTCAGTTTTCCGGACCCCAGATTATGCAACCCCCCCCCAGTGCAGAGGGAGGCATCTGAAACAGTCGTGATAATTGCAGAAGAACCCAGAGCCTAAGAAATATGAATCTCCCCTGATAAAAGCTTTCGAGGTGTTCCCTCAAAACATCATGAGCAAAGCAGAGTAGCAGAACCTCGATCACTGACGGCTCCTGCAGTTCTCCGAGTGCCAGTGCAGTGTGCAAAGTACACTTTGGCAACCCATCTCGCAAATTCAATTTTGTCCGCACAAGCGCACTATGCGAAGCAGGCAGCTCCAGCTTCTGCGCAGAACGTTTTAGAAACACCCGTCTGCAAATCCAAACGGCTCAGGACTCAGCACACATGCGGTATGCGCAAAGTACCATTGGCGGCACCAGCTCAAAGAAACGTTTTTCTTCAGAAAACACGCAGTATGCGAAGTAGGATTTGGCAGCTCCGTTTTGTAGAGCTTTATCTGCTGGATGTAATTGGGGTGTTTGCAAACCCGCGCAGGGCAATAGGCTACAGGCGTAAACTGAAGAACGATGGCGTGCCTCAGGGATGGCGAACTGGCCAAACCTGCTTTTGAGGTGGCGGGCTGGTTTCGAGCCAAGGTTTGGCAGGTGCACCTCGAACCTACCCTTCCTTATGTCAGGGGCCTGCTGCGTGGTGATAATGCTGTATTACAAAACTATTTCTATTCTACAAATGTCATATTCATATATATATATATATACACGTAAGGTGTTGTTCCGATGTTGGTTAAACAAGCGGAGATGGGCTCATCGTCTCAGATGGCTGGCTCACCGGCATGACCCCAGATCCGCTTGAAACCTGTGCATTCCTGGAAACCCTTAGATCGAGGGATGTCAGTTGGTGGGACAGATGCGTTCAAATGGCAGGCTTCAACATGCCCTCAAAATAAACAGTCATTCGTCATGGAAAACAGGATGACTTGATATTCACCGGCCTTCACAGAGAGACCAATATGTCTTGGTGTGGAAGCAACTCTGATTTCTGCGGGTGTATGTGTGCACCTGTCAAGTGTCGCGACCGGCAGGTTTGGGCGCCCCCCTAAGACCTAAACCCTAAACCTTGAAACTGTAAATCTTGAAGCCCAAAACCTAGCCTCGCCCCGAAAATCTCAAGGCGGTGCGCCGTGACTTGCTGCGATACCTCGGCGCCAACGGCATCAGCCATTCGCGGAGGTCCGTGCGTCGGCCGGCGAGCGATGCGGAGGCCGGGGCGGGGGTTTGGGCCGAGGGGCGAAAGCCTTTGTGGAGAACGTCCAGGTTTTTGGGCCATCTGAGAGAATTCAAGTGGTAAAGGAAAGAGCCCCCATTGGCGCTATCAGGTGGGTTATTCCCTACCATGAATCAATGAAGCTGCTAGGCCATCGGAGCTGAAATAAACATAGCAGTTGCTTTCTCAAGATGAGGTATGGCCATGCTGCGTAACATGTCGTAACTGCCGGTTGGCCCAACCCCTGGTGAAGACTCAGCCGTGGCATTTAGCAGTTCCAGCTGCGCCCGTTAAACGAGCACCGGAAATGCGATGATCATGATTTCTCTGTGGTATCGGGTTCATTTTGTATTGTTGGGCAGTTGACGCAAGCGAGGTGATTGTATCATGGTGCTAGCTTTGCTAGAATTCTGCTATCTCTCTCTCTGTCTCTCCTTCCCCCTGATGATGGGAGCAACATGCTGACACATCCGTGTCAGATGTTCAGCGAAGGGCAAGGGTCCACGGCACCGAAATCGCTGGCCGCTGGTTCGAACTTGGAAGCCCCTGCTAAGAAAACGGGCAGACAACTGCCTGCCATGCTTACTTGGGATCAGATCAAAACCAGGGACTCCCTGTTTGGCCTTTGGAAATGGACCAAAGGGCCCAATACCTCCGAAAAAGGATGTTCTTGAAAGGACAAAAACCGTCAACATACTGTACCTCAAAAGTAATTACTTACTACCGTGGGCAGGGAAATGGCAGTTGTTAGGGGGAGCCCTTGTGAGGCGGCGTTAAGGGCAACCAAAGGAAGACGTCGGGACAATCTGAACCTGTGTTTCTCACTGCTTGAGCTCATGGACTCCCGTGCTTCTGGGGAAGACCACGCTAGCGGTAAATGGCAAGTGTCGTTACTTTTTGCGGCAATCCACTACAGGAGCTGAGGTTTCCTCCCAGAATGGGGCCAAGCATGGTCGTTGGGAAACATTTTCCATTTTTGCTTATTGTGGTTTAAGGAATGGGGCCAAGCATGGTCGTTGGGAAACATTTTCCATTTTTGCTTATTGTGGTTTAAGGAATGGGGCCAAGCATGGTCGTTGGGAAACATTTTCCATTTTTGCTTATTGTGGTTTAAGGAATGGGGCCAAGCATGGTCGTTGGGAAACATTTTCCATTTTTGCTTATTGTGGTTTAAGGAATGGGGCCAAGCATGGTCGTTGGGAAACATTTTCCATTTTTGCTTATTGTGGTTTAAGGAATGGGGCCAAGCATGGTCGTTGGGAAACATTTTCCATTTTTGCTTATTGTGGTTTTAGGAATGGGGCCAAGCATGGTCGTTGGGAAACATTTTCCATTTTTGCTTATTGTGGTTTAAGGAATGGGGCCAAGCATGGTCGTTGGGAAACATGTTGCATTTTTGCTTATTGTGGTTTAAGGAATGGGGCCAAGCATGGTCGTTGGGAAACATGTTGCATTTTTGCTTATGGTGGTAAAGTGGTTGGAATTCCCGCTTAACTGCTAAAAAATGCGTTTTTGCTCCCCTTCCAGCGTCAACCAAGCAAGGAGATTCTCCATGAAGGCCCGGTCCTGTGGAGGCGCGGCCTCGCCCACGCTGGCGGCCCAGCGGATCGTGCCAGCGCCAGGCGCGAAAAAATGGGGACGGGGGAGGGGGGGACTTGTCCTGGGTAGAGGGTTAGCCAGGTCCCCCAGCTTGGTGCCCTTTTGCCGCTTTTTGGGGTGGGGGAGCCCTACTAAAATCGACTACCGACAAAAGGGTACACTTATTCTAACCTCTCTACAGGACCTAGTTAGGGATCCGATGGCACAAGAGGGAGAGAGTAGGCTAGTAAGGGAAACTCCCCTCACCATAAATGGGTGCGGAATGCCGCCTTATGAATTCCAGTAGGTGGTTTTCGTTCCGGGTGTCCCTGTATGAGCACCCTGGATCTAAGCCTCACATGCCCAAAGCTAACCGTTTGACCTTTTGGTTTTCCTATGGTCCATTTTTGGTCATGGGTCCAAAAGGTGGTGAACGTTTTGTTTATGGGTCCTTTCAACAACTGAGGTTGAGTTCAGGCCACTTTTAGAGGGGTGTTCACTGCTATTTTTAGGACGGGTTCTGCTTAGGTGGGGTCCACACCATCGCTTGGACCTCTCCCCAGCCCCCCCCACCCCTTCTCCTCCCCCCCCCCGGGAGTCTCCAAGCCACTTGGACCCTGGGTGATCCAAACCGCGAGGCCAGCTTGGGCTTCCTGGCGCCGGAGGCGCCCGACCCGCTGCCCAGCTTCTCCCGGGCGGGGTCCCGGGGACCCCGAGCCGGGCCCCCAGAATGAGATGCGGATGGCATGGTGCCGGACGGGGAGCCTTTCGAAGGGGGCCACTTCTCAGGAAATGGATGAACACACATCAATCCGTTTAAACATGAAAGGTTTAAGCACGTTTACAGGCCTTTCCTCAGTGGAAAGGCTTTAACATTATCCCAACCGGAAGTGTTTTAACATGTTTTAACCACATTTCTGCTTTCTTTCTTTTTTTTGGTTTCCCTTGAAAACCAACCCAAGCAGGGTTGTCCCCCTAAAAAACAACGGTGGAACCCCGTTTTAGGGGTTCCAAGCTTACCGACTCGAATCGGTGCACGAGCGACCATCCATGAAGGTGCCTCACTTGGGATTCCTTTCTTCAGATTGCAATTTTTGCATGCTGCCCAGCGCCCAGCAGAACCCCCAGCATGCGTGTTGAAACCTCTTTTAGCGTGGTGACTGCAAAGGGTCTTTGGCGAAGTGAGGGGTTCTGATCATTTGGTTTCAAAAGGAATGGGTTTAGCACCAAAGCCAAGCCAAAAGGCAAATGACGCTCGCTCTATTTGGAGACACGGGGGCCATCGTGTCTTCATCCTTTTCCAAGGTGCAGAGAAAGGCTGGGTGAGTGAGCCCTCTTAGAGGGAGCCGGCGGGCTAGGCAGTTATTTTTGACATTGTTGCGTTGGGCTTGCCCGACTTAAGTGGCCAGCTCTTGGCAAAGCCAAGGGGCTGATCCCACAGCTTTTGGCCCGGCCCTCGCGCCTCTCGGACCAAAAAGAAGCCATGGGTTTAAAGCAACGTGGGCCATGCGCAAAGAGCTCGCGCGCTAGGAGCTGTGGCTGGGCGACGAGGGAACAGCCGGGACCGTGGGTTTCTTTTTTGGCGTCGGAGCGACCTCAGTCCATTTGGAATGCCTTGGACATGTTTTTCCTTTTGCCGCAGCCTTTTTGCAATCCCAGTGCTTCCCAAGCATCCTGAACCCCGACAAGGGCCACTTTTTCCTACCAGGGCTGCTCAGCAAGTGAGCTAGCTCAGGCCTTTTGAGCCGAAAGATGCTGCTTGACTCTTTTGAGGTCATTGGCCCTTCTGCCGTGAAGGGGAAGATTGCGGTGCGTGGGCGCCTCGGGTGATGTTGCCACTGCGAGTTTTTTGTAGAGCGGGTGCCCTTTTGGGGCTTGAAGGCCGAAGGGACACTGGCAGGTAGACGAGCCAACTCGGGGTCCTCCATTTGGTGACCAACTTGCCCGTCGGCTAAGCCCAGGTTTTGACAACGGCATCGGAGAGTGGAGCATTTGGCCTTGCTTGATTTGCAAGACAGAGGCCGCATGCCAAGCTGGGGAGGGGGCGGGGGTGCCGGGGCCAACCCGCCCAATTAGATCAGTTAGATCAGCATTTACGTTGAGTAACATTGGTGGTTATGGCGGGTCTATTCTTGCAGGACGGGAAGTTTCGGCGTGGGTTCAGAAGCTGATGTGGCTCCTGATCACTTTGACGCCCGTGATAGCAACGTTAACGCGCCCGTAGCATGAAATGGTTGCGTTAGGGCCATGCAAGTGACCCTCCCTACATTCGCAGACCACACGTTCTGGGTTTTTCAAAACCACTCCTCCCATCTACATCTAGGTTTCCCAGTAGTGCCCTTTTACCCTTTTTTGGGGGAGGGTTCCCCTACTAAAATCGACTACCGAAAAAAGGGTACCCTTATTCTAACCTCTCTACTGGACCATGACATGCCAGATGGTTGTGGCTGTCCTTCCCAGCGGGTTAGAGAGTTGGACCTGAGGACTCGGGAACTTCTCCCATGACTACTTGCCCGGGTGATAACCCACTAATAACATGCTTAATCCTGCTTCGGCGGAATCTAGGTCACCAACAGCTTACTAACTTGGCAACGGACGCCCAAGTACGGCTTGACGAGCTCAGGCCTACGACGAAGCCGTGCAGGAGAAGGTTCATGGCTTTGCCCGCGGCGACCGCGCCCTTGCCTTAGAGACGTTTTGTTTCGTCTCGTGAAGCTCCCAGGTGACCAAGCCTCCAGAAAGGCTAGCGGCTTGCGTCGTTGACGTTCGTCCGCTGGATGTTATGTCCATCAATTTTTGGCGAGCGAGATCACTTCTTGCGGGGGTTTAAGTTGGGCCCCCGGGTAGAAATCTAGTGCTTTCTCTGGTTGTTTTGGGGCCGCGATGTCGGGGGCAGCGCTGCGTGTTTTTCAAGGGCCCTCGCATTGCCCACCCAAAAGTGTGGCTCCCACACCCATGTTCGCTCTTTGTTGGTGGCTTCTGAAGTTAAATTCCTGGCTGATTTTGATTGAGGGGAGTCATCACTTTTCGGAGGGGAACCCCCATTAACTGATGGGTGTATTAATCTGAGGACAACATTAAACATGCCAATAATGGTGAAGTTATTGTGACCCAAGCATGGCCAGAAGAAAGATGCCTACGTACCGCAACCACGAGTTCTGAGTCGCTCAACGTACATGCCAACAACATTCAACGCTACCTTGAGCGGGAACCCCGCTTCGCGGTGGAAGGAAGTAGCATAAAGGTGATGAGTTTCTTGCTGGCGCTCAGGGAAGAGGGAACGACCACAATTCACCATCCCTCAGTCCCTACCTATCGCACCGAGGTCCGGAGTCAGGGTCAGCTGTTTGGCTCCCGGAGCTTCGATGCTGGGAAGCCCAGACGAGCGCGCGCGAAAGGCACGCTGCTCGCTCTGCGCCACACGTGTCGTCCTCCGGTCTCTGAAAAAAATGTAATTTTGTCTTAGGGTTGGCGAAATGGGTCCTTCTTTATAGGCACCCCCAAAATGGCTGGCTTTTCCTTTGGTTCCCCACAGCTAAAGGGGTACCCGAGCATGTATATGATCCAGGAACTGAACATAGTCTTGGCGATTCCCTGCCATCGCCATCGCCTTAGGGTTTTGGGTATTTCGGGTTTAGTGGTAGCCTCCGTTTAACCTTGGAAAGTTAAACTTTAAGCAGGGGGGTTGAGGTTCCCGTGGTAGGACCGCGTTTCCTTTTTGGACCTGGTCGAAAACTACCGGTGAAAACCAACTCGTCGAAACTTTGGAGTGAACTTCCAATGAATGTTCCAAGTTGCCAACTGATTTTGCCATAGAAATTCCTTATAAGTTTGTTCAATGGGTCGACCGAACCCTTCGGCCACATTCTTGTCCAGGAGGATGCCTTGGAAGATCAAGGGCGTTCACTCGATGCGTATGTGGATGCACTGGTAGGCAGACGGACCGGACGGGAAAGGTAGATAGGAACGGGATATGTCAGACAGATTTGGCAGGCTTCGACGGATTAGCCATAGATAGATTAGATTGACGTGGACTAGATTTGAAGTGGTAGATCGATGGAAGCATGTATTTGTTCATGGCGTCCTTTGCCGCCCATTCTGAAATTCAGGAGCGAACATGGGTCCTTTACCTAAGAAATTTGCATATCCGTTGGTACCAAACTTTGGCACCCATGCCAAACGGGGCAGCTGACCCCAGCAATTTCTGACCAGAGTTAGTTTGTGTTCTCAGCGCTGGGTTGCTCAAATTGTTCAACGCTTTCATGTGGTGTCGTGTTTGCAATGGTCACTGCACGCTTTGTTTGGTGGTACGGATGGTCATAAGCGCCTTGATAGGCGACCATGGCAAGGAATCACAAAACAAGAGCCATGTTGAATTTTGTGGAGCACAAGGAGGTTTGACCATGGTACATATGGTGTCATTGGGGGTCTCTTTCGTTTCCAAGATGGGCTCGGACTCAGGAAACGCGGCTCGCTGTGGCCGACGCGGAGGAAGGCACTGTGGCAACTCGGCCTTAGCGCGTGGGAATACATGCCCTGGTCACAACGGTTTCCTTGGATTCCTTGGCTTCTTGGGCAATGTGTTCCTTTAATGATTGGGATTTTTAACAAGATTTCGCATCGTGAGGATTCGAGGGGGAACTGATCCCTAGGCAAGGGTTGGGGTTGTGGTGGGTAGGTCGAGCCATGTCCCCTTGGTGGGCCCCTTCCCATGGCTTTGGGAGGTGCCATGTTTTTGTTCCTTTTCCCTGCTTAGGCCTTCTGATCCAAGTGGGAGATGTGGGAGTTCCTTCCCTTCTTTGCTTGGCGCGGGAGATGCAGGGAAAGGGAATGACCCCCCAGAAAAATAAATAAAACATCCAACTGGTGGTTTCCTTTACAGGGACCCCGAAACGGTTCATTCCATTTCTCATTCCCTATCGCACCGATTGCAAGTTTGGACTTTGGACCTGAAAGATGCAGTGTCATTGCAACCCAGTAGAGGGCCAGATTCCGTGACCCGATTTGGCAGGGGGATATCCACATCCATCGACGGCCCGTTTGTCAGCATGTCATTTCCTTGCGGAACTCGTCATGCCTAGGGTGCAACCTCCATCAACCTCCTCACTTTGAGTTGGGGTGGGTGGGTGTGTTGCAAGAAGTCCGCTGGCTCATGCTAAACTGCTTTCCCCTTCCTCCTTTTGCCTGCTGGTATGCCCTTGTTGCATTGGTGCCCGCACTACGCCATCCCCTAGGGTCAGTACATGACCATAAAGGCAAAAAGGCTGTTTTCAGGTTTCCACACGCGCCCTGCCGAGATCGGGCCTGGCCACGCTCCCGGAAAGGCCCAGATTGGGTGCGAGGATTGAGAGACCCAGTTGTTTTTCGTTTTTCCGGATGTGCGTCCGAAACAAGGCGCCCCTTGCCCCGAGGAAGTGTGGCTGTGAACCTGCAAGCATGGATTGGAAAACAGCGGTTGTTTTTATTTGGCTTGAACACTCAGGCGCGCCGGGTGTCTGTTGGGCACCAGTTTCTGCGGTTGCCCGCGGAAAGAGTGCGGGTGGCGGGGGCGTGGGTGGTAGGCGTTGCTCAGAGTAAAGGCCTCATTTGAGCTCTAGTTGCGCAAGATTGAGCATCAAAGCAGCTTGCAGGTGCAGCATGCCTCTTCCCTGACAAACTGAACGCCTTCTGTGCGCCGGAATTCCGGAATTTGTGCCATCAGGGCCCGCGGCCAATAAACACGCCCATCTGGGGTTCCATAGAAACTGCTTGCAGTCAGTGACAACTTGCTGGTTCTCAGGAAGGAAAGGGCCCCTAACCGTCCCCGATTTGGCTTCTTAAAAGGGAATCCCCAAAACCGGTTCATTCCCAACACCTGGAACCCCTACCATAGCAGCAAAGCGGAGATTGGGAGACGGGGCACATGGCAGGTGCTTGTGCACTTTGATGCCGACGACCGGGTATGGAGCTTGGATCCAAAGCAGTTGGCGGGGACGCCCAGAACGGCATCCTCCGGTGGTTTCCGAAATGAGTTAGCAGGGAGGGTAAGCTGTCTGTTTTTTTTTTCAATTTAACGAACGCCCGGAATCCAATCATATAACTTTGCATTTTGAGTTGGGCAACGGGCTGATGTAGAAGAGTTGGCAAGACACACATGTATTTTACTTGCGGTTTCTTTGGCCTGACGGAGTTGGTAATAGATAACTTTGGGCTTGTGAAATGCGCGTGTTAGCTCCTGGCTCTAAATCCTGCGCAGGGGTTGCATAGCTTTGTCGCAGAAGGAGGAACCTTTACCACGCTCGTGCCTACTTTTGAGAAGATGCTGGATGTGGTTGCGTTTCCCACCAGGCCCAAAAGATCATAGGTCAAGGCCCTTGACCGCCCGAGAAGGCCGAGATGGCAGTTCAGGGTGATCTTTCCGCCAGGCATCCACGGAATCAACGTCCAGCTGCATTTGACGAGGCCTGCCTTTGCTGCGCAGAGGGCATCTACGGAACTCTAATCATTGGACAAATGCAACCCAACAAGTGCAGCCCGACATTGACAAAGCACTTGCTATTGGGCGTGTGTTTCTGTTACAGGGGGGGTCCTGAAAAGCAGGTGGCCTCCCTATAAACAACAACAAGGCTTCCGACAAAGACGCATGCGGCATGCAACGGACTTCCTGTGATTCCCTTCGGTGTTGATAGGGCCTGGCTCCTCGTGATCCAACTGCCGCGCTCGCGCCTCGCCTTTGCGCTAGGCACTGCCGTGTTGCCTGCTAGCGATGCATCTCCTCTTTTAAAGCATGGGATCCGAGCGATTCCCCTGACCGCAGCATCCCTCTTTTCCGCGGTTCAACTTGAAAGTCTCTGGTGCAACTCATTTGCAACGCGCCGGTTTGGCCCCAAGGCCGCACAAGCCATGCATGCAACGGGGGGCAAAAGCGAACGGTGCCAAGCCGGGCGAATGTTTGATTGAACTGTCACGTCCCTGGGTTAAACCCAGCTGGACAATACTCAACATTTCGAAGCTCGGAGAAGGGGCCCAGGCCTGAAATGCCGATGCCAATGCACCGGCAAGCTTTGACATCTGCCACGCCCCTTCTTCGGCGCGGATTTGCTTGTCTTTGGCACACCACTTCTTGCGGTAATGCAATCCGCAAGAGGCAGCGGCCGGTTGTGCGTATGCAAAAAGCCGCGTTTCCACGAGGTGCCATGCGTATGCAAAAACCCGTTTTCTTCACGGCTTGGGAACCCTCGACCCCTCCCTTTTGCGCCCGGGGATTTGGAGCATGGCAGTTCATGGTGTGTGTCCCTCGATTCCGCGATGCCGCTCTTGTCCACCAGCTAGTCGGGGCATCCAAGGACCTCGCAAACGCAAACCAGTCGCATGCAGCAAGTCCCTGAGATGGAGCCCACAAGCGCCACCTTCGCTTGAGGGAAACCGCAGGTCTCGGAAAGCGAAGTCCCCTTTGGTCAAAATCTGGCTGCTGTTTGCTTCTAAAGGCCCAATCTAGAATTTCCTGGTCAAAAAGCAAGAATGGAACATGCATGGCGAAAGCGCAGTTGCTAAATGGCCAAACCTGAGCCAATGAACCCCAAGCACACGTGCCCTATGGATTCCCTACACAAAACGTCCACTCCCGAGACACCGAACGCGCCATGGGGCCATTGGCCAAGCGCGCCGATTCTGGACCTGTGCCGCTGCGGGAGGCAAATGGCTTGGGGTTTCACAGAAGGATGGGCTGGGGTTGGGGTGGGTGAGGTGGTTCGGGGGGTTCAGAGGGGTTTGGGGAGTTGGGGTGGGTCTGCATTCTGTTGATGGCCTTCGGGCTTGGCCGAAGCCGTTCAAGGGTGCCAGGAGCGTCGACCCACCTTGGCCATGGAAAGTGGCATGAAAGTGGGTGTTCTTGGCATGCAAGCAATGGGATCAGTGGGGATATAATTCGCGATTTTCTAGCAAGCAAGACAGCTGTGTCAACAGGGAGGTGCCCAAACTGGATGCCTCGGGTGAAGGGAAAGAACCTTGCAAATCGCCGGGGCGTTGTTGGTTTACTTGAAATTGTTTGGGACTGCTCATTTGTCCTATGGTCAAGGCTTAGGCCATTTCAAAAGGGACCCCCGTTAGCTCTTCGCATCAAGGCGCCGAGCATTGTGGGTGAAGAGGTCCAAGGTCTGGCCTCTATGTGGCTGTCTCCGGAGGTATCACCTCAAATTGGATGTAACCACTGTCTGAGCGTCCTGGGCCAGAGTGCAAAACATTTGGGACCAGGACAGCACTAGAGTCCCTTTGCTTAAGACTATGTGTTATTTCCCCGTTTTGGTTTACAGGTAACATATCACTACTGGACTTTTGGTTCCAACAACCTTAAGCACTGCCAGGGCTCCCTACATTTCCTCTGCTCGATAGTTAAAACATGCCACTCTGCTCCAAACAAAACCATGGCTGCGCCAGCTAGGCGGAGGTGGGGGGCGTGCGGGTGGCCATCTTCCGCGAGGGCACGGGAAGACGACCCCAGGAGCTTTTTGGCAGAATCGGCAAAGCACGCAACCGTGGAATTCTCCCAATGGTTTGTTCTTGCTTTTGGGCAGGCTAGATATGGAAGAGAATCTGGAACTCTGAGTTTCAAGGTAAAAAGGTCAGCTTTGGACAAATGAGTAGATTGTGATGGCAACTACGGGGAACCAAGGGGGTGATGTTCCAATTGAAGGAGCCATTTAGGAGTCCACCACAACACATGGAGAGAGGGTCTGAACACATGCACAAGTGGAACTTGCCAAAGGGCCCCCCTTCAGATTGCAATAGTCTTCCAAGAACCTTGGCCCACACATTTGGCTTTCCTGCTGTCGTCCATTCTTGGTCGTAGCTCCAAAGTTTTTATTCCCAGCTGGTGCCATTGTTAGTCTGCTGGTGATAGTCCTGCCCTGGGCAGAAGGGATGGATTCCCCTTGCTGGTGCCATTCCTGAAGGGGGGCTGGACTTGGTTTCTAGCGTCATCGGACGCAGCTCCAGGCCTTTCAGAACAGAAAGCTGGGACTTTGCACCAAAATGCGCTTTGCTCGATCGGCGTTTCACCATGTTTCACCAATGGCTTGGTATATGACTCTTTTAGATGGAAGTAGTTTGACACATTCCCAGAAAAGACCCGTGCTCAGCATTGGAGGAGTTCTCGCGTGGTCCTAGCCCCGGCATGAGATGGAATGAGGGGAGCCACCAGCACGGATCCAATCCTGCTCCATGTCCAAGGCCCCAAGTCGAGGTTCAGAGCGTGGTTGAACAAGCAGTCATTTCCGCAAAGGGGGGGGGGGGTGGTCTTAACTCACTCGCCAACCAACCAGCCAGCCAACAATCCAACCGGCCACAGCGATGTGACAACCGGTGTAAAAAATACCCATTCCCCCATGGCTTACCCAAAATCGAAACACACCACCTACGCCACACACACACATATATACACATATACATATATATATACATATGTATGCCAACATATTGATATGCGTGTGCATGTAATATGTTCCAGCCTCCCTGGCCCCACCCCACCTCCAAGGGTCATAGTCGGGTCTATCCCCCCACCCCCCCCGGTGAGGTCCTGCAGTTGTCATTTGGTCGGGCGCTTGGCGAGCAACGGCTGCGTCTTCGAGAGCACCGCGGGCAAGGGCCAGGGGCCTATGCGCATGGAGCTGACGCTCAGACCGCAGATGTCCCCTTTTGGTTTCTGAAAAGCATACCCAAAGAATGCAAACCCATATGTTGCACGCTTGGTGGTTTTAAACATCACCTGTTGGGTTGGGCAAGATTTCAAGTGAGTTGCCCCTTCGGCGCCATGCTGTTTGACGGGAATTCCAGGGAACCCTGTGAAATTGGACAAGAAATAGACGGGAGAACGAACATAGTGAGTGGGACGGACGTAGACAGGGATGCAATTGAAACGTCCGGAAGGATCGAGAGATAGCTATGGAAGGGATTGGCCACTCACTGTCATGTCGTTTCCTCCATCTACTTGCTTCCTCACTTCCTTCGTTCGTGTCTTAGCTCGTCTCGCGGATGCTCATGATCTGAGGTAAGAGAATGCTAGGTAAAGAAAGGACATGTCTCTGCCGCTCTTTTTCTCCTCACCATTGTTTCGGGAAGCGGCAGCAAAGGAGACAAGGAAGATATCTCTACTCTCTATCATCACCTATTCACTCCCTATCCATGTAATAAAGGGAGTGAAGAGGATGTGATGATAGAATGAGATGATATGATGGATGCAATGTCATGCCTTTGACTATCTCACATTGACTTGTCCATTGCATCCATTCCCATCTCTCTAGGTCCTGTCTGTCAGGGATTCAACTGAGTGGCCCCAGAAGCAGCCTCAACATGCTCAACAACAAGCATTTCCGCAAAAGGAAGCCAAATGGTGCCTCGTTGTAGGCTCTGTTGTTCAAACACCCCGGAGCAGGAACCCAAATGCTCCGTGGCACCCCCTTTTACACTATTGTCATTTTCATTGTTTTTTCCGCTACTGACAAATGGACCGGGGATGTGACACGTTGGTCGCGGAAGGTTTGCTATAACAGGTCTCATGCAGCTTTACCCCGTTGGGAAGGTCTGGAGGTTCTACTCTCTGCCCAAGTTCGTTCCTGGACTTGGGAGGACAGTTTGGGTAGTAAATATACAGTTTTGACTATCTTTGGCCAATCCACTCAGGAAGTGAGTCTCGGATTCTAGGTACGTTCACTGACACTGCTATAGGAACCCTCAAAGGGGGGGTTCCTTGCCGCCCCCACCAAAGGAAGAAGAACGCCATCATCCCTGGCATGGAGCTAGCGCTCCAGGAGAGTCCGCCTGACTTCGAAAGGCCTCGGCACCCCTTCGATGGTGTTGAGGTGCAGCCAAAAGGAGAACACCCGTTTTTCTACCAGTTGTTCGGGTCCCCTTTATTTTGACTGCCTCTCGCGGGTGTAATTGGGGCTGACTTTTTCTTTGCACCAACCGCACGGATCAGAACAGGAACAGCTCTGGCCTCAGAATGCCAAATCTAGGCTTGGAGGTGTGTTGGGGCCAGGTTCCACGTTTCCGGAGGGTCGCCAGGCCTGGTGGAGTTTTGTGGTTTGCCGATTTTGGCAGACGAGAAAACTGACATGGAACCCCACAGCGGGTTGTTTTTGTCGCGGACGCTTCTGCGCCAAATATGAGTGAGTCAAACCCGCGTCTGAATGATTGTGACCGTTGGATTAGTCAACTGATGCTCGCAGCCCATATGTTGAGGTGTAGCTGACATGTCTGAGTTTTTCCCGTCCTCCGGAACCTCAAGCTCTTTTCTTTTAAGAAGGGCAACTTGTCTTTCAAGCCCCTGAAGTTCTATGCAGTCTTTTGGGGCAAAAGTCGCGCTCGTTCAAACTGCTGCCAAATCTGCTGTTTCACGCCGAACTCGGACCACTCGGCTTGCAGGAGTTGTCTTTGGGCTCTGTGGCGGAGATCCGGATACCGCCAGAGCTGGCCTACGGCAAAAACGGCATCCCACGCATCGTGCCGCCCAGTAGCAGCCTGCTACGCAAGGATTGGATTCCCCGCCTTTTGGGAATAGAAGGCCCGTCCCAAAAGGAGTTCTGAACTCGTGGGATTCCTCGGTTTGTTCCATCTCATTCTCCCTTCCCCCCTCCCCCCAGACAAAACAGAGACAGAAACACAGACAGCAGACTTTGCCGGTTGTTCGTGCCGCTTCCCAAAAATGCCAAGCACTACGCTGATGCCGCTTTGGCCGTAAGGCGAGCTACTCTTCGAGATCCAGCTGGTCCAGGTGGACGACGAGGATGGGGCCGACCGAGCTGGTTTAGATATCAACATCAAGCGCTTTGGAAGATCGAACGTAGAAGGAATACGGGGATGTCGCAAGGGGGTTTGGTTTAGAGCTTATCATTGCTTCTGTGTGTCAAGGAGTTGGTTTATAACTATGTGGACCGGCATGTAGAATTGTATGTTTTGGGCGGCCATTTTGGGAGCATGTTTTAAAGAGACGCAGCTTCGAAGAGTCAATCAGGCGGAAATGGGCAATACCGGTTTCCCACAAAAGGTACTCCCTTTCTTCACATGGCAATCCATCGGTCTCAGGCTCAACCCTCTTCTGCGAGGGCTCCCTATATTTTCCGTGATGTTTGAAGGGGAAATGCTGTGGATTGGCAAATCCTGCACCACTTGGCAGGTGGTTGGTGCAAGCAAACCTTTTACCGGCCCACAAACTGTGGAGTTTTGCGCACGCACTCTGTCGCATGCCTGCGCACGTGGTAAGCTCAGGACTTGCTACTTGGGACATCTCATTTTCCCGATTTGATTTTTTGGGGGCCTATCCCTTGAGGAAATGATATTAGTGTTTAAGATGAGGTGTGTTGTTCGTAGCCCTATCCCGTAGCCAGATTGACATTGAGTTGGGTTCGCGACTGTGAGGGACCTCTCAGAGTTGGTCCATTTGTCAAAACGGATCCCTGCCTGTCCATTCGCAAAGAATGTAGGACGCCACCAATCATTTGGAGGGGTCCTCTAAGAACACTAGACCAATACACCACACATTGCCCAGATCGAAATGTTCGCTTTGAGCTCCACAACTCTGGCAGGCGTGTGACAAAAAGGCCCCCTGTCTTGTTGAACCACGTTTTTGGCAGGCAAATGCTGTTTTGACATCAATCCTTCGGGTGCTATCAACCACTGCCTCAGGCGTCCCAGCGAAGTGGATTTTGTCCCCAGGACTGCGAGCCCTCCCAAGCTGAGGGCCCTCGAGTCGAAAAGCGAAGCGATGGAGAGATCTGCCATGGCTGGTGGCTGGCGCGTGTGCACCTGCTGCCGCCACCCAGCTACTACCTCAACTTCTGCAAGTATCTGGCAGGAGACCTCCCGATGTTTGGGTCGTTTTTCCTGGACTCCATACTCATTTTGATGGCAAAGAAAAGCCGTTTAGGCTCCTTTTTTGTGAGCCGCTTTTTAGGAAGTGAACGTTACATCCCCCACGGTCACTGGGACCCAAGGTGGAAAAGCAAGGGCTTGTGACAAAGGGCGCGGGAAGAAATAGGGGTTTTGTTGGCGTCGTGTTTGAGCTAGGCAGTGGTGAACACTTGTTGAAGCGGATGAGTGGCAGGCTTGAACAAATTGGTGTGACACGTGCCTTTATCACATGGTGGGGGGGGGGGGGGGGAAAAATGGAGAAAAGGGGGGGCCTGGGGGAAAGAGGGAGGAGTGTAGGGGTTATTGGGTCAAATGTTGTTATCCAACGTTTTAACACCCTTGTTTGATTTCATCCTATATTTTGTTGTAGGGTGTTAGGGGTGGATTTTCTGGGGGCCGACATTTTTTTCATTTGAAAGAGTTAGCCCTTTTAGTAGTTGTTTTGTTCTGGGGTGTTGGTGGTTCATTTGTTTATTCCTATTCTTGTTCAAAGTCACTTGTTGTTTCCATGTAATCTCTCACAGTATCGTTATTGTTTTCTTGACCTTTCACTCTTAGTTGGTGCTTACTTGTTTGTTGGTGTTTTTTCATTTTGTATTTTCCTACCATACATTTACATAAAGGACATTCTACTTTCAATTGGTTATAGTCTTTCTGTTTTTCATTTATGTCTTCTTTGTTCTTTTCTCTATATTCTTTTGATTTTTGCTTTATTTCGTCTTTATGCTTTTCACGATAAATCTTGTTCTTTTCCAGTATAGTGTCTTTGTTATTCTCTCTATATGTCTTTTTCTTCTCTACAATCTGCTCTTTGTTGTTTTCGTAATACTCCTTTGACTTTTGCTGTATTTGTTCTTTGTGTGCTTCTCTATACCGTTGTTTGCTCTCCAAGCATACATTACATTGTTTTCTTCCCTCGTTGAACTTTTCTAACAATTGAAAGACTTTACATTTGGAACATTGCTTTTTGTCTGTCATTGGTCTCTATATGTTTAAGGGGTTATTTATTTAGATAAGTTTAAGGGGTTTTATAGGTTAAAAGTTCAGTATAATTATAACATATAAGATTTTACATGTTATTATTATATTATGATTATAATTTCAGTTCAGGATAATAATCTAATTGGTTTGTCTTACTTCTTTCATACATCATTTTAAAAATAATATTAACATCTCTCACTGTATTCTGAACATTAAACTTTTTACTTTCAATAAATAATTTGATATTTTCTTTAACATCTTCTCCTTTCTCTTGACTATAACCCAACATCCATAATATATCGTAAATCGTGTCATATTTTTTCTTACTGATTTTAAGAAACTGTTTAACACAATCGTAAGGTGGTATTTTATTTACAGTTAGAAATATTAAAATATCATCTTCTACATTTCTATTATGTATTCTTTTTATTCCCAACAGACATTTGATTAAAAATTGATTATCTCTCCAAGTTTTACAATTTTTACATATGTCTTCTTCACCATCCATTGAATAATTAATAATATTATTCACTATTTCATTAGGTAAACTCAATTTATACAATTCCATATTTTCTTTTTTGAAGTGACAACAATCATAGCATTTTTTATTGATATAATTATTGATTCCATCACCGTTCATTTTCCTTTTAATATATAAGGTAATATTTCTTTAAGTAGTTTTGGCTAGGGGTTATGGTTTAGTTATGAATTACACAGGTTCATCAACCATTAGTTTAAACCTTATGTTTTGTACTCCTTCAAAATTCATTCTACTTCTTGCATCTTCCATACGACTGTCTATTGTTTGATGCGCCACTCTCATTACATCAGCTATATTATCTATGGTTATATTATCTACAACATCATCACTACGAAAATAAAAACTAAAAGTACTAAACTTATTGTCTTCATAATAATTGAAATGATGAAACCTTACAAACATATTTACCTCAACTATTATAACTTCTCCATAACTGTTATCGGTTTCAATGCTATCTAACAAACAACCTAAGTTTTCAGTTTCATTAAAAACTATATCTTCAATGCTTTTAATGCTTAAAGGTTTATTTCTTGAAATGTAATACTCAATTACGTGTCTCTTTATATCATCACCACCTACAACAGTTCGACGCTTTGTCTTTCTTTTTGTTTCTGTTCTGTTTATTTTATATTGTTGTTGTATTCTCTTTAATGTCTTAATATGATTATGTTTTTATTTTCAAACACTCAGGTTCCCCTAATTTATATGAAATGATACCTTTTAATACATCAACAGGTAAGCTAGCACAATTCTCAACCATAAAATTATTATCTGACATTTTACCCCCACTCATTTTTCTCTTAATATATAAGGTTTTTTCTCTTTAAGTAGTTTTGGCTAGGGGTTGCTGGTCGGCTGGTCTGGGTTTCAGGTTTAATTTAAATGTCTTAACCTTCTTGTTAGATTATAAAACAATGTTTAATCATATTATAATTGAATAATATCATTAAACTAAATCACTCACGCTTTCCATTCACCTATTCCATCCCACCAGAATTCAATAATTCGCATCTGTCCATCTACTAGACTGTCTTCTTTGTTTAGTTTCCGTATCGCTCCTGATAAGATATAGTGGTTAATAATCATTGCATTAAACTTTCCATCACGGTTTAACTTTTTACCACAGTCTTTTATGATGTCTTCATCTGTTAGGTTTTCATACATTTCTTTCATGATGTCAAACCTAACAAATGAGTATATCGTCATCAAGTTTAATCCGCTATTATCCCTAAACCTGCTAATGACATCATTCCAGAATTCTTCGTTTTCATCAACTGGTGGCAAAGGGTGTCTTTTGATGAAATCCTTTATTTTGTTTAACTCTTCATCTAATTCCTTTTTATAACTGTCATTATCATCATCTTCTTCGTCTGATAGCACCAAGTTTGATAAGTCAGCAATCACTCCGACATTTTCTAAATTCAAGTCCTCTAATCTTATTTCAGTCATATTTTCACTTAATATAATAAGTTAATATTTCTTTAAGTAGTTTTTTATTTTATGTTAAGGGGTGGGGCTTTATATTGAAAAAATATTTTCTAACAATTTAATATAATGGCGAGATTAACAAAAGACCAAATAATCAGCAACATCTATTACGACTTAGACGAGGGTTTCGGAAGCACACAAGCGACGCACAAGAAGGCAAAGGAAGAAGATCCAACAATAACATTAGACGATGTAAAGTCTTTCTTAAAGAAACAACCAAATAAACAAATCAAAAATTATAGAGGTACTAATTCCTATACCGCTCCATTCGCGCGATATGAATATCAAATAGACATAATGCATATGTCACCTTTAGCAAAAGACAAGAACGTTCCACAGTATGCTTTAGTCGTGATTGACATCTTCAGTAAATTAGCAGATGTAATACCGATGGAGGAAAGAGACGGAGAGCACGTTTTGAAGGCGTTGAGAGCAAGCTTTAAAAAGATGGGTTATCCGATGTCCGTGTATTCTGATGACGACGGAGCGTTTGCAACTAAAAATCAAGTTCAGGATTTCTTCAACAGTGAAGGAATAAACCACATCGTCACGAAGACCCACGCAAATGTGGCCGAGCGTTTTATTAGAACGATGAAAAACAAAATTCACGATAGAGTTAGGTTTAACAACATGAAATGGACCGACGCCCTAACGCCGGCATTGAAACAGTATAACAGCACATCACACTCATCAACAAGGATGGCACCGTCTGAAGCACACAAGGACGACAATGAAATAAATGTAAAGGTCAATCTTAAACTACGAGAAAAAAACAAAAGAAAGTATCCCAAAATAGAGGAGAACGACAAGGTAAAAGTGTTCCAAAAGAAAAGGGGTAATTACACCGACAGAAAGGAGTATAACTCTAAATGGTCTAATAAAATATTCAATATTGATAAAATTGAATATGATATTATGGGTAATAAAACTTACAAAGTAGCAGGAATAAACAAACCGCTTTTGAGACACGAAATTTTGTTAGTTAATGATTAAACGTATTTCTTGGTATCTTCTTTATACTTGACTTGATAGTAATCCAGACTTGATTGTTTAGGTTCTTTTATGATTTTTCATTCAGTTTTTTAACATAAATGTTTCGTTTATTTTTGTATTCGCTACTGTCTCTATCTACTTCTTTTGCTTGATAATTGCTATTGTTATTATATGTAGGTTTAATATTCATGCTCTTTAAGATGTTCAGTATGTTTTCATTTTGCTCCAACACTTTTTCTAATCTTGGAAACAACAACTCTAAACTACTGTCAATGTTCGCTAAATGTTCCTCCATATATACTAGATTATAAAACTAAACTTTTAAAACTAAATGTTGCAATTATGTTAAATCTACTCTTTAAATACTAATTTTTCATTATTTGTTTAACAGTTTCCTGAGTTTCCTTATCACCATTATCTGATGAGTTTATATTTTGTTGTTCTTTCTGTTTGTGGTATTTTTCCCTGCTTTTCCTGTTGATTTCTTCTCTATGTTCTTCTTTATATATTCTTGCTCTTTCTTTATATTTTTCAGCATTTCTTAAATATTCAAGTCTTTTTCCCGCCTTTATCTGTTCTTGGTATTTTTCACGGTACGCTTTGTTATCCCTTGCCTTTTGTTGTTTGAAATATTCGGGGTTGTCCTGTTTAAACTCTTGTTCAGTTCTTCCCGGCACTTTAATGTTTAGTGTTGGTTTCCACTCTCGTATTATTTCGCCTTCTCTTTTTTGTAACCTACTTTTGTTCTCACAGGGGCATTCTTCAATTAATTCAATGTAGCAGTTTTCATATCCGTGTTTTATCATAAATGGATAGATTAATGTATTTTGTCGGTTTTGTTTCTTCATATCGCCTCTATGCTGTGCCATTCTTTGACTTAAACTTTGACAGGTGCTTCCAATGTAATAATCTTCGGTTATATTATTTCTAATACAATATATTTTACCGTTTTGATAATTTTTAGTATTTTTCACTTTGACACTATCCATATTGTTATATATTGTTTTTTATTGTTTAAGTAGTTTTCATTATTTGTTTAACAGTTTCCTGTGTTTCGTTTTCTCCATTATCGGATGGAGTAGCGTTCCGACCCCATTTAAAT